GGTCTGATCATGATATATATATATATATATATATATATATATATACAATAATAAAATATGTATTTATATATATTTTTTTAAAAAATTTCCTTTTACTAAGCACAAAAAAAAATAAATTTATTTTTATTTTTCATCCATCCTATTAAACACAAAGAAAGGAAATTGTATTATTCTTATTTTCCTTCTTTTATAGATAGAAAGTGTATTTTAGGTGTTTGGTGAACCATTTTTTTTTAGGTGTTTTATAACCTTCTCTATGTTTATCAAAAAAAATTACCAAAACTTCCGTACCAAATGGTGCAACACAATTTTTATTATTAAATATTAATGAGATTCACTTATTTGATAATAAAAAACTGTGCCACATCATTTAGAATTAAAATTTGATAAAAAAAATTTGATAAATATAACATTACTCTCGTAGTATTTAGATTGGCCCTCAACATTGAAAATAAGTTGTGTCTGTGTCATCTTCATGGTCTCAATTCCGATTAAAAATAGCTAACAGCCGATTTAAAACTGATCTGATTATATATAAACATTTACTTAGATGATCTTTTATTAAGAAAATTGACCGAAAATGTACTAAAAAGGCCAAATGGGTATTAGGATGGAGCCGGGAAAAAGGAATCAATTGACCATTGAACCTGTGCGTCCCACCAAAGTAACATATTCTCTTATGTCCAGAAACTGACGATTTTTCAAACTCGAGGATTTGAAGCTGTGACTCCAACGTGGTTATGCACAAGTAGTCAAAAACAAGGGCTATTTAAGTTTGATGTATGCCAAGTTGCTGTCTGATAGTCATATTGTTTGAAATTATGCCTGCCGATTATGACCCGTACTAGATGGTTTTTATTTTGGATTGATATTCCATCAAACTCGTGTCATGTTTTTAATTTATCAAAGCCGTGTTATGATATAATTTATTTATCTTATATTTTATTTATTATTAATTATATATAATTAAATTCATACTAAATATAGTTAGATTTGACCTGTTTACTAAGCTGCTCTAGTCAATTATGACTCAAACTCATAAAGGTTAAGTATATAATTAATAACTTTACATAAATTTCTTATCAAATTGAGTTAATAGATTCTTTTAAGAATTGCTAGTATATACTAATTTACTTTAACTTTGTTTGGTTGCATTTACAATTTCAATGAATGCAATGAATTGTATATAAATTAAGGGTAATTTGTGCCTGAAAATATGGTGTAATATAAGTGAGAAGCAATGGATTTAAAGAGAGACAGAGGAATTTAATGTGAATGGTTTTGAGATAGATGTTTGTGGTAGTTGAATTAATCTATTTGAAATTGTCAGACAAATTTATTAAAATCTATCATATTTTATANGTTGATGAATTTTTTTATACCATTTCAATAAATTTGACTTTCTTCTTTTTTTTATCTGCCATGCTTTTACTAAACTAAAATATTTTATTTTTCCTCTCATTTCCCTTGATCAAATACCCAACTGTGAGTGCTTGCTATTACTAGAATGGAATTAATGGGGTATTAGTTAACAAGAGAAATAATTTGAAGCATTTAATTTAATGTTCATATCTTGATATTGTGGTTGTGTAATTTGATTATGAACAAAAAATTCTTTGGTGAAATTCCATTTTGTGTTGCCAAGACGAAGAGAAGAAGTTGGTTTCGATGTAAATAGTGTTGTGACATGTTTTATCTTGAATGTCTTAGATGAAAAAATAAATATATTATTTTCTGCTAAAAAACAAAAATAGAGTAAATAGTGGGTTTGATATTCTAAATGTGGAGAGTTTAATTGGACTCTTGATTTTAGAGTCTAAATAAAGAGCCTATTAGATATGATTATCTAAAATAGATAGTTGAGTGGCAAATAGAGTCTCTTTAAGATACTCTTATGCTTCATTTTGGTAAAGATGGATGAAAAGTTTGAAGAATAGATAAAATATCATGTTTGATAAGAAAATAAAATAGGAAAGATGAAAAAGTGGATGAATGAGTTTTTTTTTCAATTCACAAAAATCAATTCCTCTAAAATCGGAAGTGGATAAAAAGTTAATTATTTATGTTGAAATATTTTTTATTTATTTATATATTTTTTGATGTATACATATATTATGTATATATTAATTTCATATATATATATACACAATAATAAAATATGTATTTATATTTTTTTTTTAAAAAAAATTTCCTTTTACCAAGCACAAAAAAAAAAATTATTTTTATTTTTCATCCATTCTATTAAAGACAAAGAAAGGAAATTGTATTATTCTTATTTTCCTTCTTTTATAGATAGAAAGTGTATTTTAGGTGTTTGGTGAACCATTTTTTTTTAGGTGTTTTATAACCTTCTCTATGTTTATCAAAAAAAATTACCAAAACTTCCGTACCAAATGGTGCAACACAATTTTTATTATTAAATATTAATGAGATTCACTTATTTGATAATAAAAAACTGTGCCACATCATTTAGAATTAAAATTTGATAAAAAAAATTTGATAAATATAACATTACTCTCGTAGTATTTAGATTGGCCCTCAACATTGAAAATAAGTTGTGTCTGTGTCATCTTCATGGTCTCAATTCCGATTAAAAATAGCTAACAGCCGATTTAAAACTGATCTGATTATATATAAACATTTACTTAGATGATCTTTTATTAAGAAAATTGACCGAAAATGTACTAAAAAGGCCAAATGGGTATTAGGATGGAGCCGGGAAAAAGGAATCAATTGACCATTGAACCTGTGCGTCCCACCAAAGTAACATATTCTCTTATGTCCAGAAACTGACGATTTTTCAAACTCGAGGATTTGAAGCTGTGACTCCAACGTGGTTATGCACAAGTAGTCAAAAACAAGGGCTATTTAAGTTTGATGTATGCCAAGTTGCTGTCGGATAGTCATATTGTTTGAAATTATGCCAGCCGATTATGACCCGTAATAGATGGTTTTTATTTTGGATTGATATTCCATCAAACTCGTGTCATGTTATTAATTTATCACAGCCGTGTTATGATATAATTTATTTATCTTATATTTTATTTATTATTAATTATATATAATTAAATTCATACTAAATATAGTTAGATTTGACCTGTTTACTAAGCTGCTCTAGTCAATTATGACTCAAACTCATAAAGGTTAAGTATATAATTAATAACTTTACATAAATTTCTTATCAAATTGAGTTAATAGATTCTTTTAAGAATTGCTAGTATATACTAATTTACTTTAACTTTGTTTGGTTGCATTTACAATTTCAATGAATGCAATGAATTGTATATAAATTAAGGGTAATTTGTGCCTGAAAATATGGTGTAATATAAGTGAGAAGCAATGGATTTGAAGAGAGACAGAGGAATTTAATGTGAATGGTTTTGAAATAGATGTTTGTGGTAGTTGAATTAATCTATTTGAAATTGTCAGACAAATTTATTAAAATCTATCATATTTTATATTATAGATTATAGATAGCTACGTCTTAATGATGCATCAAGAGATTTGCAAATTCTCTTTTTTCATACTATTACTGGCTTTCAGTATAGCCAAAATGTTTGGCCTTCTCCCCCTACATTTTTTGCAAAATTTAAGCAGATTATGGTAATGAAAAATTATTTTTTAGTATTAAATCTTCACTTTTTATGCCATAAAATTTTGACAAGTGTAAGTTTGTATTTTATTTTATTATTCTTATGTCAATGACTAAAATCAATGCTTGTGGATCAATCTTGATTAGAGTTGTTAATCGAACTGAGCTACTCGAGTTTGTTTCAGGTTTGACTCGTTTTTGGCTAGTTAAAGCATGATTCGTTTTTTAAACGAGCCCAAACTTGAACAAGTTTTTAAACTCGTTTAGAAAACAAGCCTGACACACTCGACTCAAACTCGACAGGCTTAATTCGTTTATGTGCACTCAGGCTCGAGCCGAACTTAAACAATTTTTTAGGTTTAATTAAAAAATAAGTTTTTTAGGCTCAGTTTGAATTCGTTCGATTAACAGCCCCAATCTTGATATCGGTCCCACATGTTTTTTAGGTACCATATATAGTATTCTTGCTGTTTGGCACCCAGTGAGGCCAGCAATCAGTTTTTGATCATGTCTCCAGAAGAGTTAAGTGTGACATTTGATTAAAGTCAG